ACCCACATGAATGTCGAAAAGATCTTAACCGATTCTAGATCTGACTCGCTCTCCTTTGCCGCCGACGTGATATCAATCGCCCCTCTTCATCGTTGCATGTGGTTCAATCTTCGATTGTGAGCCCGTCGGCAGGATTGGACCATCGTCTCCCCTTGTCGCTGGCTATGCCCGCCCCGTCTCCATACGCCGAGCGATCTCTTCTACCTCTTGCTGCCGCCGCCCATTGGCGTCACCCCACCAAGGAAAAATGAGACAAACAAATTTGGGGCGAGAGAGAGAAGGTAGAGAATAAGTGTTGTTTTAGATGGAGGAGCTAGGAGCCGGCGTCGATAGGAGCGAAGCGCGAACTCCGGGGGAGCCGTCGACGTTTAATGGAGCCAGATGCCCAAATCTCACGTTGCGGCAGAAGAGGGGAGAAGGAAGTTGGAGGAAAGGTTAGAGGAGTCGTAGATAGGTTTTTCTTTGGTAGAATAGATTGGTTTTTGTTGTCAAATTTGAAAAACTTTGGGTGTAGCATTCAAGGTTCCAAAACACTATCATTTTACCATTGATCACCACAACACAAACACGATTGCTAGCACACACTCCCATAAGTATGCATCAACGTATTACATTCATAAACAAGGAAGGATACTAGCAATCTATGGTTTAACCAATCATGATATTCATTAAAACATTCACCCCCCCCCCCCCCCACACACACACACTTGAACAACACAATGTCCTCAATGTGGGAGTTCCATAAGAGAAGATCATGAAGGTTACCATAGGTTGGGTTGTGGTTGGTGAAGGTTCACAAGTGTAGGTCTTTGTCTTCCTGGTGGGTTGCACAACGATAAAGCGCATAAGAGATGGAGGAAGACGAATAAGAGTTATAGGTACTACTAGTGCTAGAATATATCATTCAACCAATCATGAGATATAATATAAGTACTAATACTACTAGTGCTAGAATATTTAAAGTACGAAAAGTAAACGAAAAATAAAGCGATAATTATACATTGTTTTATTGAAATACAGAAAAGCAAAGAAAAATAAAAGATAGAACTTAGGCCATGGATGCCTAGAACTCAATCCTCCTTGGAGGATCCTTCATCTTCTTCTTGTAGTGGTGCAAGGGGAGTGGAGCAATCAAATTGGGTAGGTGCCTCCTTGTTAGGAATGTTCATCTTCTTCATGATTGCGTGGAGGCACGCCTTAATATGTAGCGTTGCTTCCTTCTCCCTCTCTTGGTTGTGAAGATTGTCGCTATCATTGCTTCAGCTCGGTAGTCCCTTACATTGTTGAACTGTTGGTGAACAGGTTGAGGAGTGGGTATGGATGACTCTCCTCCTTCAAATACACTCTCCACTTGATCTCCCTCGGTTGCAAACCTTTTCGCTCTCTTGCCATCCTAACTCATGAAAGAGGGAACACGGTTCCTTCCATATCCAACGTATTAGAGGTTGGAAACGAAAGTCTCTGTACTCTTCAGATGCCCTTGTCGTTGAAATGTAGAACTTTGAGTTTCAACTTCAAGACTTCGAAAGATAGAGGGGGGGGGGGGTCCTATTATCCAATCGAAATTGGACCACCCCGAAGTCGACTTGGGAAAAATTGGCTAAACAAGAGATAAAAACTCCCCCGTGAAGTGCGACGAGTCGTTGATCCGTCTCATAACTCTTGAAGATAAATAAGATAGCCAAACCGAGATGTAGAGATCAGGGTAGATGCATACTATGAAAGAAGGTGATGTCTCGGGAAGTTAGGTTGCCTTTGCTCTGGTTCTTTCCTCCCACGGACCTAGCAATCACGTGGTGAATGAGCCGCCACTCCGGTTTCACTTTGCTTGATTTAGATAGCTTGACATCACATTGTCAACTCTCGAATTTCTTGACCACAGATTCATAAAATGCCTTGAAACAAGGGAAGGAGGATTCCCTTGTCAAGGTTTCAGAGGTGTCTGGTGAGTCTACAAAATCTGCGGTAAACATCCATTGCTCTAGTGAATTCCTGGATTAACAATTGGTGATGCTCCTCCTAGTCGGAATTGGATGTTGTTTTCAAGGTCGGCGACACCCCTTTAGAGCGGATTACATCCTCGATTGAGAGCAACTTAAGCCATTCCAACATCTGTACTTTAGAGCGGATTACATCCTCAATCCCAAGTTGCATGAGGACTATCCAGTTGAGACATGTAATCTCGCCTAAGGGTAATCCTTGAAGCCACAAAAGTTTGGTCTTGAATTGCTCGGAAACATGTTCCAAAAAGTAATCATTAATATGATCTATGTCGCCTTCTACATTGACTTGATTATCTTGATGAAGTTCCATTGATAGAAGTGGAATAGGTGATGGTGGAGAGGTTTTTCAACAACCGCTTCTTTTGACTTTGATTTCCATCTATTCGTCTGTTGGCCTTGTCGATGATGAGATGTACGAGAAGAGGAAATCTCACTGACTCGGGGCTAATTGCACACATTTTACCCCTCATTTCTTGATAGTTTGCATGTGCATTTCATCATCCCTTGACATATTTCATGCTAATTTTTGCTTGTTTTGTCATATTCCAGGTCCTAGCACATGTGGGATGGTCGAGGACGAGTTTCAGGTCGATTGAAGGTCGAAAAGCGCAAAAAGCAAAAAAAAACCCCCGATTGTAACGGTTTGAAGAGGATTGTCACGGTCTGGCTGACCATGAAAATTCCCCAATGGGCGTGAAGTGCGATGGAAACAGGAGGTTTTGCACACCTCGCGGGACCTCGGTGTGTTCGCTGTCTGTTGACCATGACAATCTGTCGTTGACCGTGATGTCTGACCAAAAACGCGCCAGTTACTTGTGTTTTGGTTCGATGTCATGGTTTGTGCTCCAATGTCACGACCGTGAACAGTGACCGTGAAAAGTGACTATCTGGCTCTATAAATAGAAGGCTGCTAGGAGAGAGAAAAGGAGAGCTTTTCTAGGGTTTTAATTTTCTGAATAAATGAGGATTTCTAGTGAGAGATTAGGGTTTAATCTTCCTAATCTGGAGAGAGTGTCATTCAAAGGAGGAAAAGGAGATTGGGCTTGTCCTAAGATAGAGGAGTGAAGATTCTTACCCCTCAAGGGAGATTTAAGCAACAAGGAAGGAAGATTGTCATCTCTTCATGGTTCTTTCTCTCCTTTTTCTTGTTTACCCTTGCCTAGCTACGGAATAGCCTCCCTACTCACTAATGTATTGTGAATCATAGTCTAGATGTGTGTTAGGATGTAAGAACTTGATTCTATCGTGTTGATTGAATGTTTATATAATATTTGGGGTATTTTTCATGAATGTTTGAATGTTCTAGCTTTAACTCATGATTGGGTCATTTGGACCTAGGTGGAGAGAATCTCCTTGTTGAAAGAGTGATTCGGGCCTAATTGTACACTTTTTATCCTCATTTCTCTTTGACATTTATTGCAATTGAGCTCCAAAAGGGGTGGTTTTACACTAGGTTTCTTGTGTTTCAGTGTGTTTCAGATTCTAACCGGTGAAACCAACCTCGGAGTCAAAAGTTGGAAGAAAAGGAGCACAGACTGAACAAAGAGGAGGAAACAACCTGTGTTCACGGTCTGCCATTGGAGTTCACGGGTTCCAGGACCATGAACTGGAACCACAACCGGTGAACCAAGAAGCGTCTAGGGGGGATTCTGAGGTCATTGACGCCAAGGCTGTTCACGGTCGCTAAGACCGTGAACTGCAACCACAAACCGTGAACCCAACAAGTGAAGCGGTGCGTTTTGGTTCAACACACTGTGTTCACGGACGCGTTTTGATGTTCACGGCCGTGAACTGGGCACAATCTCAGTATAAAGAGCTAGATGATATGAAGAAGATGGGGAGAGACCTAGTGTGAGAAAATTCTTCTTCTTTAGTTATTTAGAGTGAGAAAGTGACGAACCAAAGAAGAGGAGAAGCTACGATTTCATCTCCAAGCAAGGATTTGGAACTTCCTCCCCGAAGGAGGATCTCTTCAACACAAGGAGCAAGGCTAGCATCTCTTTGATGGTTTCTCTTTTTCTCTCTCGTGTTTTCCCTTCTCCTACCATGGAGTAGTCCCTTCTTTCACTTGGGTGTTTCTAAACCCTAGCTACAATTATGTGAATGCTTGTATGAATTGAATGATTTGTCTGTGGTTGTGTTTAATGTGAATGTGGAGGTATTATTCATGAATGATTGTGTTGTGTTGTGTTGTGTTGTGTTGTGTGAAAGCCTATCAATCTAGTTGCCATTCTAACCTAGGTAGAGAGAAAACACCCTTCTTTTCTTTGAAAGAGGCTTGAATTCTGGGGTCACTACAACAAATTCGGCTTATTAGGAAAAAAATTTATTTTGTCATTTTTTGTTTGTCATAATAGGTACGGTGATATGACAAAAATAATATATGTCCTATTTGGTATGTCTAATGTGACAAAAAAATTGTTGTCAGAATAAGTCGTCATTTAAAGTGAGTAGTGTGACAAATATTTTGTGTCACAATTAAGTTTGTTACAATAGCCATCCCATATTGGAATGTAAGATACACAAAAGTGACAAATTATATCGTTAGGGTAGCTTTTGTCATATTATGCCTTCCTCAATTGTTTAAATGACAAAGTATTTTGTCACAATAAATAGCAATAATCCCACGACGAGATGACAAAATGGCATGTTTGTCATAATATAGTGATTTCGGCTTTGACGAAAGGCATGTTCGTCATAATATAGTTGTTTCATTTTTGACAAAAGGCATTTTTATCAGATTTGCTTGTGTTCAGCAGAAAAAACAAAAAAAAAATCACCACACAAAACGAAATTTCAGTACCGCCCACTGTCCCCTAAAAATTCATGGCTCCAATTTTTAACCGCCCATTTTTAACAAAATTTATGGCTCCAAAAATTTCCTATTCTGCCAAAACTTGCCCCCTAAAAAATTGAAAATTTCCCCTTCTCACCATAAAAAATCCCCTTACCCTAAAATTCCAAATGAAACTTCCGCCTCTCTGCCCTCTTTTATCTCTCCCCATTTACCCTTTCTTTCCCTTTTAAACTTTCCTTCTTTTCTCCCCTTCTTTGTTCTCTCCAAAAAATGACCTTTCATCTCCTTCTATACTCTCAAAGAGAATGAAGCCTTCATCTCTTTCTTCCTCTCTCAAAAATATCACCGCTAGCTGCCTCCTCTGGCGATAACCAGCGATGTTGCCAGAGAGATTGCGAGGGCAACGATTGCCGAGATCAGTGACGATGGCAGAGAGATCGAGAGGCAAATGACAGAGAGATCGACAGGCGGCGATGGCTCAAATCTCAAGAAGTGACGGGCGGATCGAGAAGCGGCGATGGCGGAGAGTTCCAGTGAGAGCATTGATTGGACCAGTCTGGCTTAATCTTTTTTTTATTTACAGGTTTTGCTTTGGCATAGGAAGGAGTTTCAGCAAGGTGGGCGTTGTGCGTGAGGCGGAGGAGGTAGGAGGCGATGGTGACCGAGGCAAAGATTGATAAGCATAAGGCCGAGATTGACGAGCCTAAGGCCAGTTGGATATCGATGAGTACAAGGTCTGATGCAAGACTAGTGGCCACAGTGGGAGAAGGATTCTGATGCATGCATTTTTATTCTTGTGTTGTTACTTTTTGGGGTTCCAATTCTGGGTTTGAGGAGGAGAAGGAGCCTGGATTTGGTTAGTTTGGACGGGTTGTAATCGATGGGTTAGATAAGCTTTTCTGGGTTTACGAAAATTCTCTGGGATTGTGAATGATTTTCTGGGTTTGTGAATGAAGAACAAATTGTGATAAAGCTTTGCTGGATTTGTGAGTTACTTTTTATAAATTTGGATTTGCGAGCTGGGCACAATCGACGGAGAATAAAAATCCTCGTCTACACTTGTGACAAAATGTAGTCGTCACAATATACAGTTATGACAAAATATAATCTTGTGATATGGCAAAAAATTCTCTCAAAATCACCAGATTGTGACAACGGTAATGACAAAATATGTCGTCATAACATATCTGTTTGTCATAATAGACTACCCAGAACCTCAGTTATTCTGAAAGCAAATGTGACAACCTTGTTTTAAATTTTTGTCACATTTGACCTATCCTGACGGCGATAAAATGACAAACCTTTATGACACACGTTTTGTCATATTATACCTAATATGACAAAATTGGTATCTAATATGACAAATTTGTCTCGTCATAATAGGCCAAATTTGTTGTAGTGTTTCTCGGGTAATTCATTGCCTCCTAGTTAGGTTAACGCAGGGCAAACCTCTTATTTCGTATTAGCACTTAGGGTTTGGTTGTGGGTGGCCGTCCAAAGTCCAATTCGAGGGTGAAGTCTAACCATTCCGTAGTCAATAAGCTGATAGAGTCGCATTAGTGGCTTGGATCGTATCCCATTTCCTCGGCCTAGAGACTAAGAGGGTAGCTTTGGATACTTTTTAGACTTCCCTGCGGTTTATAACCCCCTAACCACACACAATCATTCCATCCTTCAAGTTATAATTGTTAGCTAGGGGGAGCAACACTCGGGTGAAGCCTTCTCAATTAGTGTCAACTCCATTTCATCTTTGCAAAGTAATTTAGCTTTAGACCTTTGTTTTCACCAAAACTATCTGCTAAATAATGTTTTGAACAATCGAAGTAGCGGTACATGGGCCGGCATGGGTCGATATTTAAACACACTTGCCATATATTGCACCCATCTAAGGTTTATAGTTGGACCTTAGGTGGGATATTATTGTGATAGTCAGAGCGAGTCAAAGAGGCTTTGATAAGTTGGATTCTTGGCCAATTTGTGTCACCCACCTAGGAAAATTATGACAAACCTTAAATTAATCATGATTAATGAGTGTTGCTTGCATTATATCATTGTTGGGTCAAAATTAACCTAAAGGGTGGTATCTCGCAAAGAAACTACACCAAAATAAAACCCCAACTAGAGCCCCAGTTTTTTTAACTCTAGTCGGGTGCATTATAGGGCAAGTATTTATATATCAACCCGGGTTGGTCCGTCTACCACTACTTCAGTTGTTGAAATCATTATCCAGCAACAAAGCTTTGGTTTAAGGGTTTGCTAATTTGAAATGAAAGAAAGCAAAGGTAAATGGTTTTGATTACTCTTTGGTGGAAGGATCACTTGGGTGTCGCTTCCCCCTAACTACTACCATGCTATGTGGATTGGAACGATTGCTTTGGGCACGATAATCGCGAACCGCAGAGGGATGCATATGTGGTCGGAGACCACAATCTCAATTGCTAAACTGAGATAAGCAAAAAAGGTCGTGTCACTCGACCTCTCGGTTTAGACAATCGGTAATTGACTTACTCCCTCACACAGCTCTAAGTTCAGATGGCTTGATCGCGATTAGCCAACTTGCTTAACTCAATATCGAGGTTTGCCCTAACTTAATCCTATTTTAGGTGGCTTAGAAAGCGGAAGGAAAACCAAATCAATTGAGTCTCCCTTGGAAGGCGATTTTCCTCTCTAAGCTAGGCTAAGGTGGCCAATTAGATTGCTAGCACCTACATTCACAAACCTAAGGGTGCTAAGCACAAAACATGCACAACCCCTAAGTTGCTAAGAACAAGCATGCACAATCATGAAAAATAACACCTCAATCATTGAATTGAACAATACCCAATGACAATCATCCAATACACATAAAAGAAAACTACGTGGTAGAGTTAGGGTTTCACAACACCCAAGTGAAAGGAGGTCTACTCCATGCTAGAAGTGGGAAAAACAAAAGGGAAAGAGATGGAAACCATCTTCGAGGATGCTCCCAGTCTTCTTGGCCCTTGAGTTGAGCTTTCCTCAGAGGAAATCTTCCCAAAATCTGCCTTGAAGCTAAACCCTAGCCTTCTTCTCCCTTTGGTTCGTGTTTCTCTCTCTAGAATGTAGAAGAAGGCTTTTCACACCAAATGGGCTCTCCTCTCCCTCCTCCTTTCAGCTCATCTTTTAAACCAGAGATGAGCTTAGTTCACGGCCGTGAACCAAGAAATGCGTCCATGAATTGCAGACGTGCGCCAAAACGCGCCGCATCGTTCACTCGAGTTCACGACCAACTGCCTTTGTTCACGGTCTTAGTGACCGTGAACTCACCTTGCGTCAGTAACCTTCACTTTGGATCTGAACGCCTCGTGATTCACGGTCAATTCCTCTTCTTCACGGTCATGCAAGACCATGAACTCCCTTTGTTAGCCGTGAACTGGCTATTTTTCACCTCTTCTCCCGGTTTTCGATCCTTTTCGCCAATCTTTCGACTCTGAGGCTGGTTTCACCTGTTAAATCCTCAAACACACTCGAACATGAATAACCTAGCGTAAAACAAACCTTTAAGGAGTGAATTTGGCACAAACACCTAAGTTAAATGGGGGCATAACATGCGCAATTAGTCCCGAATCGGGTGGAAATCCCCCTTTTGGCCCATAGGGAGCTTGACCTCCTAGCCTCTTAGTAACCCCTTCTAGGTTAATATAGGGCCAAAACCTCAAGTATCGGAGTAGTACCATGATCCCACCATGATTGGTTTCTCTATGCCATTCGGATTAATTTCTGAGGGATTGGTTTGCAATTCTTAGTTGACCGATTTATAGGGGCTAGATCGTCTAGCGTAGAGTTGCAATCCTTAACTGAAAGGTTAAGAGAGTTAGACCACGAACTTGATGCTAAAATCCTAGATTCATCAACTAAGAGAGTTAGGGTTTCCTCGGTTTGTTCGATCAAAAGAGCTAGCTTTGCTAGCTTATTGTGGCAGTTGTTGATCGATCGACTAGGAGAGCTTGTTCCTAGCAAGTTGCACCCGTCTCACGGTGTATGAACACGTCCTCCACACTAAAGTTCCCTTCATGCTTTCTTAATACGAGACTAGGTGAAGAAAGACCCAAGTGAAGTCCTCTCATGTAGAATTCTCCTTGATTTACTTTATGTGTTTGTTTATTTTGTAGCTTTCTTAATTTTAAACACAAAACCATTTTCTAGACAACAACCTAAGCGATTGAAGTAGGGGTACATGGACCGACCCGGGTTTTACAATTAAAACATACTTTCCCTATAATGCACCCGACTAGAGTTTATACTTGGGCTCTAGTTGGGATTTAAATTGCGGTGTATCCGTGGTGAGTCATGTTTTTGGCGTTGTTGCCAGGGAACAACGGTCCGTTATTTTGAGAAAGTCGCTTAATGTTACTTTAGCATTTTCTATCTTGTCTTTGGTTTTGTTTTGTGTTTATTGACCCACTCTTCGTTTGAAGGGTGGTTTGTGTGTGTTTAATTTTACTTTTTAGTATTTTTGTGTTTGTTTGTATTGGATCATCGATCCTTATGATTTCACCCAAGTGTGGAGGTATCCACCACCACTCGAGAGTTGTTACCACTGAACTTCGTGGGACGATCAAGGTGGGGGAAGTCAAGGATCTGGATTCTACTACCAACCTCCCTTCCGAGAAGAGCAACCAGGCCAGTGAGGGTATCAAGAAGGTTCCTCATATCAAGAAGATTTTCCTCAACAACCCGAGGAGAAATCCAAGTTGGAGTTGGCCATGAAGGCTTTCATGGGGAATTCGAGACCTTGTGCCACTCCACAAACAGAGCAAAGAGCGAATTAGAGCTCATGGTGGAGAAATTTTCCCGGGGCACCGATGAAGGCTGCTCTAGCATGGACCTCCCAATTGTCGCCCTTTCGACTCAACATTTCTATGGGAATCAGAGGGGCTACTTCGACACACGGAGAGGCTAGGGGGGCTTGTTGAGCAAGAATGTGCACAAATTTGAAAACCAAGTCACAAGGGAAGAGGAGCAAGAGAATGCATGGCAAGTTGCCCTCCAAATCGTGCTTGAAGACATGGATGGGAAGGTGAGAGATGAGGTTGTGGAAGAGGAAGTGAAAATTGAAGAAAGGGAAGATCTTGATTGTTCCCAAGGGGAGGAAATTGAAGAAGAAGGAAGGGAGTTTGAGGAAGAAGAAGGAGCCAGTGGAGTCCAAGATGAGGACGAGGTCAAGGTGGATGAAGCATCCACGAGTTACAAGAGCTACCAAAGCTTTCCACACGACCTCGATGCACTTTTTGAGAAGGACCCATTTGCGGATCTTTGCCAAGCCAAGGTCAAACCATCTGCGATCCCTCTTGGTGGATGCGATGGAAGTCAATCGATGATGGACTACATGGTGTGGGGCAAAGAGAAAGAAGAAGAAAAGAAGAACACGAGGTCTTGTGGATGGAGACTCAAAGCCGATCAAGTTCATGAGCTCTCAATCATGTATTCGTCCAATGCTTGTGGCTTGAGACTTCATCTTACCGACGAGTACCTCAACTTCAAGGAGGTTCTCGGATGGACCGAAGAACTATCTAGCTTATGACGTTATAGTAGCACTTGTTGGGAGGAAACCCAACATAGGTTTGTGTTTGTTTTTCTGTTAAGTATTATTATTGTGAAATAACCTCGCATTGTTTGAGAATGTGTTGTTATATTTTTTCCCATGTGAAGCTTTATCCTCTCTTGAAACCAGCCCAATTATGTCCCGACTTTCACTCGCCAAGCCTTGCGTAACATCGCTCTACCCCCTATTTTACGCCATTGAGGGCAATGTCGAGCTTAAGTGCGGGGGGTAGTTTAATTTTGTGCTTGTGTTTGTGATTGATTGCTTGGAGCCTTGATATATGACCAAATTTTCAAATTTGAGGGCTCCAAGCATTGCATGATCAAAGTGGCCGGTTCGTAAGTGAATCTCGTGTTTATTGTCATTGACCGTGAATCGATTGCATGTGATTGAGTGTGTCCTAAGATGATGA